CCTCCTCCCGAAGCTTCCGTTGTTTACAAAGCTCCCAGCACGAGTCGCCCAACAAAGCGGGGGACCTGATTTCCCTATTGATTCACAGCGGTTTTGTTCTAAAGCACAAAAGAACAAATCCACACCTCTGCGTGACTCCTCGCAATCCCTTTTCTCTCTTAATAGCTTTACTGAGCAGATCAGTGAACTCGCTGACATGTCATTCAGTCACTCTTGAGCGAGGAGACAGCTTGATGGTGGAATGACAGGCGAATGAAAACACAGAGATCAAAGCTGCAATGCAACAAGTAAGTAGTTTATATTAACTGGGATTGGAGAATAAATGAAATTCTATCTCTTAACGTAATTCAGATAATAGTATTGATTAAAAAGATCTTGCTGGCAGGGAACATCTGTTTCCCTTTCTCTCGTCTCTGTCCTCACAAACCGAACGCCCAGTAAAGCTGCTCTGATTCAAATTTGATTGTTTCTGTTTCTGTCAGACAGAGCAATGAATCACAAATAGACCTGTTAGTACCACACACTCGGCAATCTGCTCAAGACGGAAACCCGATGTAAAAAAAAAGATACATACATACATTTCGTGCAAGTTGGACAAAATATTCTCAGATTTTATGGATGTCCACTGTTTTAATTGTATATTAAAGATTGATGATCTGCTTCTCCTGTCAGAGTAAAGGAGAGGTGAACACAGTACTCAGTTTTGTTACTTGAGTAAAAGTTACTGATCCTACTGGTCAAAGTCAAAGTAGCTGTCTCAAATTGAGAGTTGAATTACTGGAGTGTCTGCTTTCAAAAGTACTTGAAAATCTTTAATCTTGGAAAAAACGTTTTTTAACTATCCAGTGTTCTCTGGGACAAATGTATCGAGACACAAAAACCTTTTTAGGAATGTAGCGGATTAAAAAAAGTGCCATTTTCTAGTTAAAATGAATTAATGTAACAGGTTTTCCCACAAAAGTGCAAACTCTCAAAATCTGCAATTAGGGACAGTACTCAAGAAAATGTGATAAAGGAGGACGCGGCCGGGAGCAGGAAGCCTGTTGCACAAATTCCAAAACTTTAACAAGCTGAAGTGTTCCTTTCCTCGTTGAAAGACTGTGAAGGAAATCTAAAAAGCTGCTTGCATCGTGTTTATGTTGTGACATTGTGAGATACAAAGAGATGTTATCAGCTTGCTATATTCGTATCCATAATGGCTCAGACTGCTTTGCACACCGGAGGGATGTGTTAGCTCGGTTTTCTTTTGTTTTTCTCTGTCAGACAATGTCAGCCGGATTTTTTCTGTCTACGTGCACATGAGCGCGCCTATTTAAAGCTTGATACTGCATGATAAATCCAAATGGAACCCATTAGATTTCTTTTTACTGTGCATATATGGATCCCCCCGGTTAGAATTTGTAATAGCCAACAGGATGCAGACATCAGCCCAGCAAAAATGTCATCTGCCCATACGTTGTTCAGCAAAGGGGATTAATTAATAGCTTGCTTGGTTGCTAATGTGCTGTTATAAATTAGATCTATCACATCATATGCCGTCATACGTTCACGGCTGAGGAATTCGTTAGGAGATCATTTCTATATTAAAACATTCATTTTAAAAAGGGGGTAATGGAATCTTTAACTTTAATTGCACTTTGTTTTGACAAATTGATTGCACTCCAGATATGAGCATTAGAGGCTTGAAGTTGTTAACCAGAACCCGGCAACAGTGTGCAAAAGCATAATAAAGCAGAAATGTTATTTTATGTAGTGTGAAAAGGCAAACAAGTCGGCAATCAAACTAAACATCTACGAGGCTCAATCACCATAACAGTGCTAAAAGAATCACAATTACTCGTGTGAGGCATATTTAGGGGCAACTGCTCTCATGAGTTCTTTAAACTTTATTGGCCTCACTACAATTCTCAAGGGCGTCATATTCCTCAGCCGTGAAGTAGGTCAGAGATTTATTGATGGTTTCATCCTGCCTTGCGCTCTCCACGTCTGCTTTTCTTTCTATATTCATTGTTTCAAACAGCTTTGACCGACCTGCATGCCTGGCTCCCCCTCACTTCTTTAGACGTCAGCTAATAAAAAGCTAATAGAGGAAATACTGTCCAATCAAACACCGTGACAGCTCGGCTTTCGCTGGACAATAATTTAATGTCACATCCACAAATTGAGGGATGGCAAAAAGTAGCTGCAGCTCAGTCTGTCTACATCAAGGAGGAGGTACCCAACACCGCATCGCTAAAGGTATGAGAACTGCCTGGCCGATGGTTTAAATGTAATGGTCACCACCAGTATCGTCTGTCTAAAGCGCGGACTAGATTTCTCTGCCCCAGTAATCCAAAAAGCTGAAGTTTGATATTTCAGCCTGCTTCTAATCACTATGAGGCAAAGTTATTTATGACTTTTACAAATGCACCAGCGCAACCTTCCATCATGGTGATATGACAATAACATCCCAGGGGGGCCACAATTGTGTCTGAGAGTCCTTCACTTAACTAGAACAACTGAAGCGTCTGCTAGGTGCAGACTGAAATCGTTGAGCTCATCTTTTCCAGTGTAACATATATTTTGTGAAATATATAACATGCTTGAAACACCAGTGAAGTGTATTTGTTTCCTTTGGTCCCGTTCTTATGTCTATGTGTGTGTTATGTCAGCTAGGATTTTTATTTTATTTTTTCAGTTCGAGAGTGCAGATTAGTCATCGGCATAATGTCTAATATGATGATTGGAAAATGTGTGGGATGTACCATCTCAATGGATGAAAATACATATTGAATAATGGATTCTAATTTGGATCTTTCAGTAATGCGCGTTTTACTTTGATATAGGTTTCAGGTAACAGCGCATTGAAATGCTTCTTTACTTTAAACATTCCGAACACTTTCTTCCTTTTTTCAGAACTTCTTTGGCTTGCTTAAACTATAGCATTGCAATGTATATAGATAGACGGTGGCATGTACTGTATGTGCCAAACTGTGTAAAACTGTCTGCTAATAGTCCGTTGGTCTTTATTCTTAATTTTATGTTAAGCTTATTCAGCTTCTATGGCTTAGGTGTCACTCCCTGTTTGTTGGATGTGTGAAAATGATACATCAATACTGTCGAATCCTGTCCTCAACTCAATTTTGAACAAATCTTTGTGTTTCGCCTTTTAGTTTATCTTAAAGGGCCCTTTTCGGACCAGTTAGTGCCATTGATTTTCCATTCATCATCTCTCCTCTCCTCTTTTCACCCTTTAAGTGAGCTTGCAAGGGAAAGACAAGGATTTTCAAATGTTTGCTTGTTATATTAGTACATTATTTCTCTTTTATCGCATGGGGTCTGCAGTGTCAGGATTGATTTAACAATTAGTTAATGGTCGGGGTGAAGGGCACGATGGCGTATTTCTTGCTCGCTACGGGTTGATCTAAAGAAAAAAATGGAAGGTTGGCGAATTCTCCTTCAAAAGAGGTGTGAACGGTGGATGTCTGCAGCAGAGTAGCCAGACGCTGCATCGAGTGGAGCGGCTTCATGGCCGCTTTAGGCTGCAGAGATGAGGAGCAGCTGTTGGAAGACATGCACTTATAGCTTCTGAATCAGACTGGGTGGGGTGGTGGGGGCTGGAAAAAGAAATTCTAGATTTAGTGATGTTGAGGACGTGATCGAAAGCTGGCCAAAGCCCTTTATGTACAGCCATGTATTATTTAGACGATCGTGTTGAAACAGTGCAGAATTCATGTCTGATTCATGGAGAAAAAGTCTGTCTGTTTGATAGACCCTTTTTGAACAACCTGTTGTATTAAGGACAGAAATGCATAAACATAAGGAGAAATTGCTCGACTCCAAGGGCTTATTACCATTAGCCTATTTGCACGCCAAATGCTGCCCTTTTGTAGCACTGTTTATCTCTAATATATTCCCGGCATTAAAAGGGGTCTCCCAGCCAGGACAAAACTTTCCTCCACTCAGCTCTTTGTCTGAGCATTGCTTTCTCGCTACACTGGGAGGGTGACGGGCTTGCCAGCCCCCCTCCGCGACTCCCCTCCGCTAAAATGTTGTAAATTAACACATTTAGCAGATCGCCATTTTGCTAATTAGCCACGGGTGTCTGTCGAGAGATGGCTCGAGAGGAGAATCAGAGAGGAAATAGGAGTCTAGGGATTTCCCCCCCTTCTCCTCTCTGCCTGTGTTGTTACCAAACAAACACAGGGCCTTGGATAAGCGAGTAGTGGAGTGTTAACGTATATGTGGTGCAGCCTGCTAGATCCCCCCCACCCCCCCTTCTGTATGTGTTTGCGGTAGCACAACTGGACGGGCAGGAGAGGGAAATTCTCCCCTCCGTGAATGGATTGCAGAGGGCATGCCTGCATTTATGCACACAACCTGGAAGGAACAACCAATTCTAGAGCTGGGAGATTGCTCACCAGACCCCCGGCTGTGGGTCTCTGCACGCAGCCGTCAATAAGTCAGGGGAAGCAGCCTAAATGACACCGATATTATCCTTTATTTGTGTGCACTAAGTCAAATCAAACAGAGTTCAATCTGCCGTGCGGCTGCTGTGATTACGGCCCGTCCAGCCTTTGATAGCACGGGGGCTTTGATAGTGAGACAACGATGGAGTTGCTGTGAGACTGTCAGTGTTTGCAGATGGCATTGGCTGGGATTAAAGGAAACAGTGGCTCTCTAGCCTCCCGAGGCAATAAAAGGGGAGAGCCAGGTGAGTGTGCCTGAGATGAGATGGAGCAGGGAAGGAGGGAAGGGGAGGAGGCGAAGCAAGCACAGGCGGAGTAAATAAGAGGATGGGTGGAGGCAGAGAAAGGGAATGAGCAGAGGAGATATTTATCGAAATAGATTGAGCCAGAATGTAAAAAAAAATGTATATATTTGTTTTAAAAGGCGGGGGGGGGGATGGGGAGGAGAAACAGAAGATGGGTCTGGAAAGATGGAGGCGGAAAATGGAAGACCAAAAACAAAACAAAAAAAAACAAAAGAGGCTGAGAGGAAAGACAAGGCGGCAGGGAGGCATGAAGAAGAGAGGCAGACGGAGAGGAGAATGGCAGAGAGGAGGTCAAGGTGGAGCTGTGCAGACAGGAACTAAGCTCGAGACACAATGTGTTGTAATTCATAGCTCGCCACAGCTCCTGTGTGCGTGCCTGTGTTTGTCCGTCTGGGTCAGTGCACGAGTGTGTGTGTGTGTGTGTGTGTGTGTGTGTGTGTGTGTGTGTGTGCACTACAGTACGCCTGAGTGCAGGCAAAGATAGTTTTTTTTTTTTAAACGTCTGTGTGTGGATGAGCACCGGTTTTTGTGTACGTGTGTTTGTGAGTTGCGCACAATGAGCAGAGGGGGGTGGATGTGTGCGTGTGCCGCTTTGTGGCACTGCGAGGCGCATTTTCAAACCCATCTCCAGCCACCTCAGATGAGCTGGGGATTATAGAGTGACCCTCAATGCCTCTGTCTTATTGGTCTGGCCAGGGTGCATTAGGCTGCTGTAACCAGCCTTCTCACTGTCCTTCTATACTCACTATGCCTGCTGATGCTCACTGAGTCCTCGTAGGAGGAAGAAATTAACAGTTCATTTGTAGTTGCGAACCCAAAAAAAAAAAACACAAAAAACAGCGATAATCTCAAATAAGCCTCTAGATAAATGTCACCTTTTTAATTGACCAACCCCTTTTTTTCCCCAGGTCATTTGAAGGTGTTGTCACTTTACTTACTTCCCAAATGATCTGGTCTGCCATTTGCTAACGTCTGTCTCTCTTTCCCCTCAGGCTTAAAGATGCAGTGGACCCCGGAGCACAGCCAGTGGGCTGAGCAGCATTTCGACATCTCCTCCACCACCCGCTCGCCAGCACACAAGGCGGAGGCCTACAGGGCGGTGCCTGGCCACCTGCAGCGCTCCGCCGCCTACCAGTACGCCTGGGCCAATGACGACATCTCTGCCCTCACTGCCTCCAACCTGCTCAAGAAGTATGCCGAGAAGTATTCAGGCATCCTGGAGATGCCGGGCTCATATTCTGAGGCCCCGGGGGTCCCTGGAGTGATGAACGGACGGAAAGGTGAATCCGAGCCCTGGCAGGATGGAGTCTACCCCATGAGCTGCGTCCCAGAGGGCGTTTCCATCAGGAAGGGAGGGGTGGCGGCGGCTTCAGAGGTGGTGTCCGGCATGTGCAGCTCCCCGGGTCTGGCATCCAGCACGCTGAGTGAGCCCAGCTACTCCACCAGCAGCTGTGGGAGCCACTCAGCCACGGCCCTGCACTCGTCCTCCATGGCCTCTCAGGAATATGGTCCCACGTACAGTGGCTCATACCTGCATAGCAGTTACAGCTCCCAGTCTGCACCCACCCCAGCCCTTCCTTCCCCACTGCACAGTTCCGGCCTTCTGCAGCCCCCTGCTCCACCCTCCCATCCCACTTTAGTCCCGGCTTACAACGGAGGCTCCCCGAACTTGTCTAGTTATAATTACCCTCCAGCAGGCTACCCAGCTCAGAGCTCAGTCGGGCCAGGATACAGCCCTGGAGGAGCCCCTCCCCCCTCATCATACCTCCCGTCAGGCATTGCTGCACCCACACCTCTTCCCCCCTCTTCCACTTTACCTGGATACCCATACCAGAGCCACAATTTGACCCCAATCGCCCCAACCCCTCTCAGCAGTAGCTCCTCCAACACACTGAAGAGGAAGGCGTTCTACATGACAGGCCAAGGAGAAATGGACTCCGCCTACGGCAGCTTTGGCTATGCCCAGGCACGGAGCTCAGCAGAGAGTCCGATGTACAGGATAGCAGACAGCAGCAGCGCAAACGGAGGCAACAACAGTACCGGTGCTGGAGGATTTGATCGCAGTGCTGAGAAGTCGTCTTTACCATTCAATCCTCAGAAGCAGTCCACTTTGCCGTCAGAGCAGCAGCAGAGAAAATATGGCAGCCAGTCGTCAGGGGGACCACTGACTCCGCCGGCTTACGTCTCCTCCTCCCTAGGTGGCTCCCGTTCAGCAGACTCTCTTGGGAGTTTCACCTCCCCCTCCCTGAGTGAGCAAGGTGCCGAGGACCACCGTCTCCACCTTTCCCACTCAGCACAGGGGCCTACATCATCCTCCTCCACCTCGTCCTCCCGGCCTGCTGAGGAGCAGCTGAAAACCTGCGACCCCCACCTCCTGGACATGGTCACTTCGGAAATCGTTCAGCAGGGTCCGCCGGTGGATTGGAATGACATTGCAGGTCTGGAGCTGGCCAAGGCTACCCTGAAGGAGGAGGTCCTGTGGCCCATTCTGCGTCCGGACATGTTCAGCAGCTTGGGGCCAGCCCCGCGTTGCGTGTTGCTGTTTGGCCCCATGGGCAGTGGCAGGACGTTACTGGGCCGATGTCTGGCCAGTCAGCTGGGGGCACCCTTTCTCCAGCTAAGCGGTTCCACTCTGGCCACCAAGTGGCTTGCTGATGGGGGCGAAATCATCCGGGCGTCATTCCTGGTGGCGCGGTGCAGGCAGCCGGCGGTACTGTTCATCAGCGAGGTTGACATGCTCCTTTCGGCTCACCTTAGTGAAGAAAGCCCCATCAACCGGCTCAAGGGGGAGCTGCTTGCCCAGTTGGACTCCCTTCTTATCGGTTCAAGTGAAGACGGAGGCAACCAAGTGCTGGTGGTCTGCTCTACAAGCAGACCCCAGGACATGGACGAAGGCCTGCGCAGGTACTTTGCTCGGAGGGTACTGGTGCCCCTGCCAGACAGCGCAGCCCGACACCAGATCCTGAATCAGGTCTTGGCCCAGTCTCAGCACAAGTACTGCTTGAGTGAAGAGGAGCTGGCATTGCTGGTCCAGCGCACTGAGGGTTTCTCTGGACTGGATCTGGCCAGACTCTGTCAGGAAGCCCTCATTGGTCTCTTGCACGCCTCTGCGCAGGGCATGGACATGTCGAGTATTATGCCGAGGGGCCAGATGAGGCCCCTTACCTACCAGGACATTGAGAGTGTCTGCTGTAAATTCCAAGCCAGTATATCACAGAAAGAGATTGACACTTACACTGAGTGGAACAAAATGTTTGGCTGCAGTCAGTGAAAAAAAAATAGATGCCGCCCTTGAGAAAAAGAGGCTTCCACAATTCCTCCCCTCAGGGCAGAAGCATTGTGCTGGAGGGAAAGGCATGCAGAGGGCCAGCACGTGCCCACGGTGTACTCACAGGTGGGATTTTGATGCACTCGGAAACCTGGTTTGATGAGACAAATGGCAGTTCGGCAAATATTGAGTGACGGTTTTGATCTGAATGCTTGACCCTTTGAAAAGCCAGGCATTGTTTACACATTGCAAGCGAGTTGGCTTCACAAGAAATGCCCCAGTGTCTATGTATATAGTGTTATGTTACTCTTCTTGAGATTTAGTTGGCTATCCAAGTGCCTGAAGTGGTGCTTTCAGATTTTTCTTAATTTGCCTCACAATCTACATTCGTGGCATCATGCTGATGATTATTAAGAGCTTTAAACTTCAGCGGTGGGTCTGAAAAACACAGATTTACAGTTGCTATCGGTGGTGGTTCGTCAACTTTCATTGTCTCACTGGGTGCAGTAATCTATTGGGGTGGTGGTACTCTAGGCCCCCCGACTTGCATTCATCTCCTTTCATCTACTGTGTCTGCAAAACAAGCAAACGTGACAAACAAACAACACTCAGGAAAGCGTTTGTAAAATTGTACAGTACCTCAAGAGATCTTGACGTAAAGCACTATGATCAGAGAGGAGAATCTGGCAGTGCTAGGTGTACCTCAAATGGCTAGGATTGATAGCAAAGAGACAATGAATGTACCAGATATGTTTTCAACAAATGGGACATTACCTGTAGTGAGAGAAAAATCATTGTGTCCTTTATTTTATTTGTATTTTTTTCCTGTCTGTAATTCACCAATCCTGAAAATGATTTTCTTTTTTCTTTAAAAAAAAAAAAAAAAAGAAAAAAAAAAAAGGAATACCATATTGTTACCCTACTTGCTTTTGTGGACTGGGTGGGAATTGAGATGGGCAGGTGTTGGGGGGAAGAAGGGGGTTGTACATTTATAAAAACCAACCATAATCAACATTGTTTATATTTACATTATCTAGGTTTTACAGTCAGGCTGCATGGAAGCTCCATCAGTTAATCAGCTGACACTTCTTTAAAATATCCTCTTGTTTAACATGTTGGTTGTGGGCTATTCTTTATGTTCCCTGAAATAATTATTCTCCATATCATATAGGCAAAGCACCCATTTACAGAACAGGATAAAGAACTAGAACTATTAGCCTGATGCCGTTTAAAAACTATTTACCTGCTCAGAAAAAAAAAGTTAGAAAATCTGGTAAATGGTTGCTCTTTACTTCCTTCTACAGCTGTCATAGAACACAATCTGACCACACCCAATTATGACCAAAACAAAAGTGTGATGTAAGCCTCTAAGTAAAATCGAAATCCAAGCATGAGAAATTGTATTCAAGGTAGTAATGCTGCAGAGATAGTATCAGAAGCCCACAGAAATGCTCATTTTAGCATCTAACTCACCTAAAACAATTCAAATAATCATGTCTCAAACACAAGAATTTTTTATCATTACGTGGTAATCAAAGGTTGCATCCTTGTTTCTTTGTGAAGGCCTTCAGTTTACTCAAGTTTACTTTAAGCAAATATTTATCTGTTAGCGCCAAGACCCAACTGTTTGTCTTTATGGTTTAAAGTCCAACTGAAATCCCATGAAGTCATCCTTTCACGATATTTAAGGCTGTATTAGGGATGGACAGAATAACCGAGCGGCTAAAAATTCAGAGAAATATCAGTTCTGAAAAAAAGTGGAATTTCACTGTAAGTTTACGCCCGTTAATGAAAAGTGGCAGAACAAAATCTATTTTTACCATTTTGATGTTCATACTTTTTTTTTTTTTTTAACATGATAGTAGCCGTTTTGACAGCTAAAACCTTTACTGATTAACTTTGTCAAATAATTCCATCATCTGCCTTCAGCCATGCTGTGAACTGAAGCAATGCGCCACCTTAACTTAATTCAACTGCAGTAAAATACAAAAATTAGCTGTGGATAGTTACTTCTCTAAAGTGGATTTTACACATCAACACCAGAGATTTACTGAAAAAAGCACAAGATTTGATTTGGATTTCTTCTATACTTGCTGTTTATTCATGTTTTTTTTGTTATCTTTCCCTTTTATTTCTTCTCCTTTCACAAAATGCGACCCGAGGGAAGGTGTGAGATTTGGCATCTGTTTAGGCCACAATTACATGTGTTAGGAAAGGACCGTGTTCTGTTTATGGCGCATTGGAGGGCGAAGGGATGAAGCTTCTCTATGTCTTTTTTTATTCTTTTGTGTGTGGAGTATACATGCGGGAGCAAAGAAACCACACGTTTCAGCAGTAAAGAGAATGAAGCAGCAGCTCTTCCTGTCTGAAGGAAAATAGAGGGGAAATTTCTACTTGCCGAGGTTTTGTGTGACCTCGGACTCGAGAGGTGGATGTGTGTTGGATTTTAAGTTTTAAGTTGATGGACACCACATTATAGACAGGATACAGAGAAAAAAAATCCTCCCCTTGTTCCAGAAATTAATGATCTACAGAAAGGAATACCACAGCTGTTATATGAGCTGTTGTTTTGTCATTTGTCACTCATTCAACGTGGAACTCCTGTAAAAAGAAGCAAATCAATACAGGTGACAGGTCATCTCACATTGCCCATTTTTTTTACTAACCGACTCTGTAATGCAATTAGTATTACTGTTGTCGTGGCCTCGGCACAGTCCTACCAGAGGCAGTGCAGTACATAATCAGCAAAAGGGCAAATTGGGTTGCCGCCAGAGAACTGATTATAATCAAAGGTGTTTAATCCAAGATGGCCACCACAGAAAAAAAAATGAATCTGATTAAAGACCATTTCATTCTTTCCCCGCCATTTGTGTAAGCAGCATAGCTCCATGATGCACCATCAGTTCCACAGATCGCACGATGTAAATGATCCAAACACAGCTAAGCTCAGTGCTGGATAAGGTGAATGGGGAAACCTGGCCCTCGTTAAGGTGTGCCTGCGGAGTTGCCCGTGGCTCATTGGTCTATTGGAATGTATTTCTTAGGCTTCCTCATCACTGAGTGAAGCTGGGCTTTTTAGCTCTTTTTTGGCTAATGTGAGCACTTAAAACTATTTATTGCACACGCACCAGTGCTTTTTTTTTTTTGCACGTCTGAATTTGTTGAAATGCGGGATGTCGCTGGCTGCAACATTTGTTTCGGTGTTTCTCAGAACCCCCCGCCCCCCCTCAAAAAAACAAGTGAAAAATCTGAGAACGAACGTCCGGGTTTTCCATCATATGTGGCTTTGTGCAAGCCCACATGAACGCAGCACCTGACGCAGAGGGGAGAGGCGGAGGTATGGTGGTGGTGGTGGTGGTGGGGGGGGGGGGGTATGCTGAGCATCAGCAAAACTGACGGAAAAAGGAGAGAGATGGGCAGGCAGCGTGGCGGCGGCACAAGGGGGGAAAGCAGAGTAGTCCGTCAGAAAACAACACTCAAAACAATCTGTGCCAGAATTCCTTCTGTCAGCAAATCCTCTGGAGGGAGAGAGTCTCTTTGGACAAAAAGGAAAAAAAAAAACCTACTAATGCACTTCAGAGCACACGGCAGCACAGGCTCGTCTCTCTTTCTCTCTCTCTCCTCTGTTCTTGCACAGCCGACCTATGAACCACGCCGGCCACCGCTAAGCTTTGTTCACAGTCCCCCCCCACACACACACACACCTCTCTGTTTGTGTCTTTCTCTGTTTTTTTGTTTGTTTGTTTTTATCTTTCTTTCTAATCGAGTTCCTTTAAGCATTTCTACCTCATGGCTACAAAACACTTCTGGTATTTGATTTCCGTAAAGAAATTTCCAAAATGTCAGGGTCAGGGCGTTGGTGGAAAAATAAGGTGTGTGTCGGGTGGTGGTGGTGCTGGGGGGGTAACAACAACAAAAAACAAAACAAGACAAAAACAGACAAAAAAAAACAAACACAAAAAATTCATACAAAGAAAAGGAGCGAGGAACATCGCAAAGTTTATCAAGCAGTCTACCTCAGATGACTGTACTTAAAACACAGCAGGCTGAGGGCAAAGCCTGGAGCGTGTGTGTGTGTGTCACCGTTTTGTCGGATCCCAGCTATTTGCAGAACACACAAACACACACGCGCGCGCACACACACACACACACGCGTGCATATAGGCTACTGACATCAGAAAACGCACTCACAAGCAATTTGTGGGGAGTGAACAGAGGGGGTCAACTCAAAGGTGACCTGGAAATGTATAATCCAATACATTTGCTTTAATCTTTTGTGAACTACTGTGGTTGTGTGCGTGTGAATGTGTATATATGTGGGCACACTCCCCCCCCTTTTTTTTTTTATTTAGTGTGTTGAATTTTATAAAAAATGTTAGTATATATAAACACACTTGCACAACTTTAAACCAGAGTGTAACGTGTTTCTGTTGTACATAACTATACATACAATACAAATGCACCACTTGTTTATATGTGTGAATATGTTGCCATACTTGCAGTCAACTTAAATGTATTTTCATGTAATCTGAGGTACAAGCAGCAACAAACAAGTCATTAAAGACATTTTCTTGGAAGATTAAATCTTGATCATGTCTTTTTTTACCATTTCTTTAAACTTGTCGATGCTCTAAAAAAGGAGTTGTGAGAGGGAGTACTTTAACAGATGTGGTTATCTATCTGTACAATGGAAAAATAAATGTACTGTCCTGCCAAAATATAGCCAAGCTGATAAATCGCCTTAATGAGCTTTGTGTTATTCACCCTTGTGTGCAATTATAAAATCCTCCGTGTTACGCAGGAGCCAACGCTGTCGCTTCTCTCATTAAAATGTAACAATTCATTTCTCTTGCTGTGCTAAGAGTGGCAAGACCAAAACATTAAAGCATTAATTATATTTCTCCATCACAAAGAATTTGGATTACGGGAGCAGACTTAATGAAAATGATGTGCATTTGCCCGCTACATTTCCACTGTATCATTATAAAGCTGGTGGTGAGGTG